GGCTCACGGCCGCCGGCCACGAGTCCACGCGCTGCGCTCGGGGAGGACGAGGGCTGGGCCCGGGCCCCGTCTGCCCCGCACTGGCCCTGCCGAGGAGCTACGTCTCCCGCTGTCCAGGCCGGACACTGCTAGGTGAGGGCAGCCCGGGTCAGGGCGGACGGGGCGGGGAGGCTCCACGCCAGTGGTCAGTGCGAACGGGAGCGCCGGCCTGTGCGGCTGTGCCACGTCCCGGCACGGCTCCAGGGCAGGGGGTCTCCCAACTGGCTTTTTCACGACTTCCAGGGACACGGAGAACCAAGTGGCCTCAGGGCACCCCTGGGGCTCAGCTTCCACACAAGCTTTCCCGGGCCCACCCGCCCCAAAGGCTCTGGCCCGGTCTCCTGTCCGCCCTCGCCCTCACAGCTGCCCGCTCCCACCTGCACCGCGGCCCCGGGAGCGCGGCTCTGCCACTCGGCGCTCAGGAATGGGGCTGGTCCTCGCCCACACAGGGTGCTGCTGGCTGAGGAGATTAAGTCCAAGTCCTGCTGCGGGAAGGACGTGGACGTGGGGCCGTGACTTCACCTGAGCCTCCGTGGCACTGCCCGGCAGCACCCTGGCCCCAGAGGCCTGTGAGGCAGTAAGGCGAGTCGGCGCCGGGAGTCCGACCGACAGACTCCAGGCCGCAGCGCCCGTCAGCCTGCGACAGTGCCTGGGTGTAACCACGCGCACAGGCGGCCACCTGCTGCAGAGCGCACAGGGCGTCAACTCGCTCCATCGATCCACGCGAGCCGAGGGCGGCCACTGAGGACGCCGAGGCGCGCAGGCCTGGGACGGAGTCCGGCCCCGCACACGGGCGAAGGCCCTTCCCCGGCCTGTCCCTGGAGGCGGCGTTCCCCGCTGCGCCAGGGCCCCCACCCGGGCCACCGGCGGCAAACGCCAGGAACGAGGCACCGACCCTGCGTGAAGCCAGTCGCCCGAGAACGGGGCACGCGGGCGCCAACCTCGGCCTCTGCGCTCACCTTGCCCTTGAACAGGATCACCGGGCAGACAAAGCGGCCCCGGCACCGGGCGGTCTTGCTGCGGTAGACGAGATCCTGCAGCTTGCTCACCTGCACGGTGCTCTGAAACCTGGCGAGGGCGAGACAGGAGGTCAGGCGGCTTCGGAGCGGGCCGCGTGTGCCCGCCGGGTCTGCTGCAAGCCTTCGTTTAAAACTCGGTAAATGCACAATTCCCCAAATTCTGGACCAAAGACGTGTGAAGTTGCTCAGGAAGGAAAAGGCGCTCTGTTACAGAGATTCAAAAAGTCACCCCGATTCCCGAACCTTTTTATGAAAACCGCGAGCTGAATGCAGCAGTGCACAGCGGAGGCAGCTGCCTCCGTGTCTGAGCGCCCGGCGGGCACTCGGTCAGGCCTGGCGCACCCCGGGGCCCTCCGGAAACCCGCGGCAGGGCGAGGGGAAAGCTCAGGCTCCACGAGGCCGCCGCCCCTGCACCTCACGGGCATTCCAGCTGCAGGTCTGACGGTGCTGTAGGGACGGTGCTGCCCCCCCCCAGCTGGCCGCGGCACCCCACGGCCTCCCGTCTCCCAGCAGTGTGGCCAGTGCCCAAGTCGCATCTGCCTTCAGACGCAGCGGACGGGGCGGACTGGACTTGCGGGCACTGGGATTCGCGCCGAGGGGACACTGGCCTGCTGTGGTGGGCTGAGAACGCGCCTCCTGGGGATGTGCCTGCACCCAAAACACACCCACGGCCAGCGCCAAGCCCCGAAGCAGAGCGATGGGGCCCTGGGGCGTGCGGTGCTTGTGGCCGCCAGGCTTGCTGCCGGAGCTCTGGGCAGCGAGGGCCAGGGCTGGCAGGGAGCTCAAGCAATTCCCACCCAGATGCGAAGATGAGGCTCCGCTCTGAACAGACTCCCAACCAGCCGGGAAGGGCAGGGAGCCCCTCCGGGCCCCCAGGCCGCATCCCCGAGGCCACCGACACCGTCTCCACCCCCAGCTTTCTAGGGAGCCCCGCATTCCGGGGCTCCTCACGTACACAAGCCCAGAGAGACGGCTTCAGAAGGCCGAGGCTCGGCACCCCCACGCCGTAGCGCGGTCAGGGCGTCTGGACGCTGCGGCCAGCACGACAGTCTTTCACACGGCCTCAGGCCTCAGGCCCAGCTCACACACAGCCGCTTCAAGGGGCCGCCTGCACCAGGCCCCGGGCAAGGCGGGACGGGGCCCGCACTGGCCCTGGCGTGGGCTCCGTGCGGTCTACTCAGGGTGTTAGCTTCGGCAGCCCCAGCGCCGACCTTCGGAAGGAAGGAGAGAGAATGACAAACGCGGAGAGGTGGCCGCCTCGCCCGGGCACTCAGAGGAGGCCCAGGCCGGGCCCCCGGCTGGCAGCGCCGCTGAGCTGGCGCTCTGCCCCGCCGCTCACTCGGTTCCCGCGGTGAGAAGGCACCGAGGACGCGCCACTCCTTCCTCTCCAGCTCCCGCGGCCTCACGCCACCCTGCTCACAGCCAGCCTCGCCGCCGCCCGGGGGCCAGGCCGAGCCCAGCAGCCCCGGGACACCAGAGCCTCGCTCGGCCCCGACTCGGCGGGGTCAGCCCTTCTGTTCGGCCCACCGTCCACACAGCGAGGTGGAGAACATGCCGGAGGCCCCGTGCGGCTCTGAGCAGGCCGCCGTCCCGCTGAGGCAGGGCCTCGCCGCGTCAGGGAGGCGGCGTTCTGCCCCCTCCCCGTCTGCAGCCCCAGGCTGCGTCTCAGCTCCCGCGGCCTGAGGACGTCCTGCTCCGGTCCTGCCCCTGCCCGCTGCCGCGCTGGTCCTCTGTGAGCGAGCAGGCTCGGCCCTGTGCCTGCAGTCGAGGCCCTGAAGCTCCTGGCAAGGTGCTGCGGGGGAAGGGCTGCCGCGGCTGTTTCACGGAAGCCGGCGGCTGGGTGTCATCTTTCCCAAGCGCCATTCACGTGCGACCAAGCGACACTCACACTAAGAAAATGCCACTGCCCGTCCTTCCCCATGGTGACCTCCCCAGGCCACAGCGCAGTCCCCAGACCAGGCGAACGCCACTGCGTACCCCGACCTGCTGAGCGAAGCGCTCCTGCGCCTGCCGCTAGCCCCCAGCCACAGCGGGGCGCGCCCTCAGGGGCGAAGCCAAGGAGCCCCGTGCAGCTGTGACACCTCAGGCAACGAACGCTCGCAGTCCGGGAGCAGAACTGGCCGGAGCGCAGGGCACGGCCGCGGGCGCAGACACGCAAGCCAGCCGCGAGTCTGTGACTGCCCGCAAGGACCTGGTCTCCCCCCTTCTGGCAGGGCGCTAAACCCTACACGTTTCCTGAGGGGCCAGTGAGGAGGCAGCCTGGAAAGCCCCCACGGCCTAAGGCTGGGGCTGCGGCCAGGGAAGCGAGCGGGCCGAGTAACGGCCAGTGGTCTCACCAGTGAGCCTGTGAAAGGGAGCCCCGCTGAGACCTAAAGGGCGGCTCCACGCGCACCCCGCTTGTGGACGCAGGGCCACGTGGGGAGAGCTGCCTGGCAAAGGGCCCCACGCCGGCCCGAGCGACCTCCCTCCCCGGCTGAGCCGGGAAGCAGTCGGCGAGGCGCCGCTGAGCCCTGCGAGTCGCTCTCGCACGCGAAGCGAAGCCAAGGAGGGCCGCAGAGCCGCCTGCCTGAGGGGAGTGGGGACTGGTGGGGGGCCTCCCTCCCCGACATACGCACCCCCGGGGCTCGGGGGCAGAGCCCTCGCCAGGACCCCCAGGCCTCACTGGCCCTCCTGCCCCGCCCCGACAGGAACTCCGTCTAGCGGCCTCCGGTGTGCATCTGCTCTCCGCTGAAGGAGCCGGGGTCTGCCACACGGTGGCAGCTCTCAGACCACATCTCCCTGTTGAGAAGCTGCTGCTCGCTCCCGACCGGGGATGGCAGGATGCAGGCAGGGCAGGGTGGCTGACAGGGCAGGCCGCGTCCGGGGGCCAGTTCCACCTGCCCTGTTAACTCAGCCAGCCAGCGGCTCCTGGAGGCCAGGTGGGACAGAAGCGAGCTCTCCTCCTACCTGCCCTTCTCTTCAGCAGGTAAGCACCGTCCATGCTCTCCGGCCTCAGGCCTTCAAGGAGAGATGGGTAAGCCCCACAGTAATTCCTCTCACGGCAGGAGAGACTGCCGGGGCCCAGCCGGGAGGGGAGCCCGCCAGACAGGCAGGGCGAGCCCGGCAGGCACAGCCCCAGCTGGAAGCCCACTCCACTTCCGCTCCGTGGCCTCGGGGAACACCCCAAGCTCCATCTCTGGGCTTCACCTCCCTCGCCTTCTCTGGTGCCTGGCAGCCCACAGCGGCAGCCTCCGGCCAGCGAGCGTGAAGCAGTTTTGACTCAGCAGGTCGGGAGGGCTCCAACTGTGACTGCTGAACGCTCAGGGGTCCGAGCATGTTCGCACCTCTGACGCCCACCAGCCACCCCGCCTGGCCTGGCGAGCCGCTCCTGCGCGGGCTGGTCTCTAAGGCATTTCAGGTGGACTCCTCCCGTCCTAGTTCCAAGGGCCTCTTCGGGGAGGTGACCCCCACCCCACACACGCGCCCGCCTGATTCGCCCGCAGGGCTACTCCACCTTAGGGTGCGCGTCCCGGGCCCGCCGTACACTGTGGTCTCAACTCACTGCTCCCGCGCCTGGACCGAGACTCCAGCCAGCGGCTGGTGCACGGCTGCAGGCGTCTGTGGCCCTCATGGTGACATTTCAGGACCAGGCCGGCGGTCACAATCCTGCTGCCAACAGCTCTCGCGATTCCCTTAACGCCATCAGCGGCAAGGCCAGGGGACAGACTTCTCAGACCGACAAAACGCACGTCTCGGCGTCCCTGTGCTGGGACCGCTCCGAGCGCCAGGGCCGGCTGACGGCTGGTCTTTCCCGCCGCGGCTGTGCCCTGTGGTCTGCTCCGGCTGAGCCAACCCCGCGGAAGCGCCGGGGCCTCGCTCGTCCTACGGCAGGCTTGCCAGGCTGGCACGGCCCGCGCCTCAGCGACGCGGAAGCTGCCTGCCCAGATCGAGACAGAGGCCGACCGACCGGTGAGAGACCCACACGCCAGAGGTTCAACAGCTGGTCCCGAGTTCGTCTCTCAGCCAGGAGTCAGGGGCAGTCTGACTCCCACCCAGGCGCCGCGCTCGCCAGCCCGCGCTCTGCACGTGTCTGCACCGAGCCCCCCACACGCGCACGAAACGGGCACTGAGGCTTGGCGAGGCCTGACACGAGTGGCCGCGGGCAGCGGCTGTCGGCCTGAGAGAAACGGAGTCCGGGCGCGACTGCCCGCCCCGGTGCCATGCGTGCCCCCCCCCGGCCTAGCTGGCCGAGCCCGCAGGACAGCAAAGCTGCCCGCGCGCCTGAGCGTCGCCCTCGGGAGGCGGGTCTGCCCGCTCGGCTGCCCACCCAGCTGCAGAGCTCCCGCTCCCGGTGCGGCTCCCTCGGGCGACAGCACGCTCACGTGTCTTTCTCCTTCTCCGAACTCTCGTACTCCAGGAACACGATGTGCTGGGGGTAGTGGCCGCAGATATCCCCGTTCACGTTCCGGATCACGCTGTAACAGTAGTCGCGGCCGAACAGCTCCAGACATCTCTTCTCGATGCGCTCAACCTGCGCGGGAGACAGCTGCGTCAGCACGGCGGGATCCCAGCGCGGCGACGGGGGCTCGCGGCCTGGCGGGGGCTCGGGGTGGCAGGCGCCCCTCACATCTCCAGCGTGGGAAGAGACACGCCCCGGTCGGGAGCTGAGCCTGCCGTCTGTCCCCCTCGTGGTGAGGCCCTGGGAGCAGCTCTAAACTCCTCAGCTTTGTACGTGAAGTTGTGCCGATCTGTGTGCGGCCGGAGCAGACTGCAGCTCTCCCGGGTCTGCGGGGGCGGGAAGAGCTGTTGCCCTAGAGGCTACTGTCACTGGCGCTCGCCCATCGTCTCGCAGTGGTTCCAGGCCTTTCACATTGTCCAGTCACAGACCAGGACCTAGAAGCTCTGGTTAGTGCCATGAGTAGCCGCTGCAGACAAAGTTGTGTCCTCACTCACACACCATTTTCTTACAAAATACAAGGAACAGCTCTTGTTCTGTTCAGTTTCCTCGAAGGGCCCATCAGAAAAAGGTGTGAGACCTGCCACTCTCAGTCCACAAGGGGCCAGGAGGCCAGAGAGGACTGCGGCTATAGTTCAGGTCAGGTGGGACTTATGACGACCTACTCCTCAGGGGCCCCCAGAGACCATCAGTCCTCACAGCCACTTCCAGAGCCTTCTGAATGAGGCCTCAAAGAGCAACAGGAGGAGGAACTCCCAGGATTCAACTAGGAATCCTCAGGTTTTAAGACGCATGTGTATCATTAAGAAGCCTGTTAAAAAATGTAAATTCTAGGTCTCCACCCTCTGCAATTCTGACTCAGGAGCGCGGGGTGGGCCCAGGGAGTATTTTTAACAAGCACCCGGAGAGCCCTCACACAGGTGGTCCTCTGGGGAAGCTCTGAGGAATACTTGGTCATTTAGAGGGTGGGGAGGTCTGTCATTACTGAAGCCTGGGTTACCCCAAGGCCTAGCAGACACCCACTGCGGGCTGTCCCAGCACAGGAACCTCACGCCCAGGGTGGGACAGTTCCCCTGGAAAACCTGATGCCAAACCACCCGTGGCCAAGCCACCTGGGAGCGGAGAGCCCGAAGGCCAGCACTCTCCTACCTGGCTGGGGCCGGGTGGGGCGGGTCGAGGGTCTGGCGATGAGACAGAAGGGTCCGGGGGTGGGAAAAAAGGAACTGAGACCTGCTTCAGATAAAGGAACAGGGAGTGTGGGCTGCCTTCCTGCTCTGGGGGGAGGACAGGGGCGGGCCTGCTTCTGCTTCTGTGCGGGCTACACAAGGAGGCAACGCGCCACTGCGCCCCGCCATTCCAGCGCCTGCATTCTGACCTCTGACCTGGAGGAATCCTCTAGACGTGGGCTCGGCCTGGCTCCGATGCAGGGGTACTGCCTCCCTCGGCGCCTGCTCTCCACGCGCTGACCCGCCCCGCTCCAGCCCGGGCCTCCAACCCGGGTCAACCCAGAAGGAAGGTCCGTCCTGGCTTCCTCCTCCCTCTAGGTCCCCCTCCCGGCTCTGACCCCCGACCTTGCTCTCGGGGAGCGCCCCCTCTCCCCGCCAGCCTTCCTCTGACCCCTGACCTGAGCCTTTCCTCGAGACCCCCGGGAGGGGACCGCCCGCGGCCCGCCGCCCCGAACGCACCTTCGAGCCGCCCGTCCCGCTGCAGTCCTTGGCCCGGTACTGGGTCCGGGAGAACTCCTCCAGCAGCTCCCCGAGCCCCGGCTCCTGCGGCGGCGGGTGGCCCGAGGAAGCCGAGGTCCCCGCCGAGGCGGCGGC